ACACACACACACACACACACACATACACATACACACTCCAACACTTCCGCCCTCACGTTTAAGTCTGCTGGTTCAGATCGCTGTTAGAAAGAACACACCTCGAAGAAAAAACCCCAGACATTTCAAAACCACAAAGGGAAAAAATACGTGATTAACATTCAGAATCCCACTACTCTACCCCACAGAAAGGAAAGAATGAAAAAAATTGAAGGACAAAAAAATTACAGTAGTATACAAACAAACACAAATTTAAAAAGAGCGGAAAAGAAAAGGAATATAAAAGCAAAAATGAGCTTACTCAGTCATGGCCCTGATGTACTGTACTCAAAAGTTTCAGAAACAACACGACCGATCAGCGACTGTAAATAACCCGCAAACTTAACAGTCACAAAGCTGTGTTTTTGGATATTTTACTTCAAGAGCTAGATCTAGAATATCTCCACTGTGGTTGTTTGCGTTGATATGCTAGAGAAAGTGGTGTCTTCTTGATCTGCTCGTTGATACAAGACTAGCTTACCTCACGATGTCTTCTGTGTCTGCAGGAGGCTTTGGGGCTCGGTCTGGTCTCTCAAGAAGTGGCAACATCGTGCTGGGTGCAGATAACATCAACGCCAGGTCAAACGCTGACTTGACTCTTAGTTCTGGTCTGAGAGCCGGTCCTGCCATAGGTAGGTGTCTGTTTATTAACCAAACATCGGGATAAAATTGACCTCCCGCCCTATCAATACTAGCCCCATAAGGCTATTTAAGATTCCTATTGAAGGCATCGAGGCAGGGGAACCGCCTCTTAATAACCTAATAGTATTGATAGGGGCATTAAATCTATATCATTTAACCGAGGCAGGAGTAGACCCAGTGCAACCAACCTGGAGAGGGTGACAGAGAAAGTTCATAATAATAATAACATACGAGTACGTAGCTTTTTCGAGTGCATCAGAGTAAAAGAATAAATGGAGAACCATGATTTCCGACTCTTTCACAGATCTTGCACTTGAATTGGATGATTCCTTCTATCTGTCGTTCCCTTTTCCGTCCTACTTCTCTTTTTTGGTCCTTCTTAGCCTTTGAAATGGCATGGAGGTCGGGCAATACGTACTTTTGAACGAACTTTCAACCTAACTAGTTTTTACTTTGTGTTGTCTTGCAAGTCTGTGCTATAACCATTGATATATTTCAAAACTAGCTGGACCTCTTTCGATGAAAGGAATGACCGGTGCATTAACATCAACTGAAAGTCATTGGCCCATTATATTTACACTCTATTGGAATGTAGCAATAAATCTTGTGAGATGTTAAAAAATTAGAAGGCCTAGATCTAGATCTATACTCTCAAAACGAAATGCACCTCGCGAAATATCACTTTCGACACTTCCGCCGTGAAGGACAGCTACGCAGATTTGTTTCCTTTCTCAATGGAATAATCACAAAGGCTAAAGAAGGACGGGAACGTTTTGTCAAATATACATTTCTAAATTCAGGAAATGGATAAATAAAAAATCGGGCTCTGTCATTGGGACCTATCTATGTTTCTGCAGGTACTTTCCAAGTTTCAACTCTGTAACTGTCATAGTTTTATGACACATGTGTTTCCAAGTTTCCAAGTTTCCAAATATATAATAGGTTTATAGATGGATGAGGTATGTGTATGATTAGTATGGTCAATGGTCAATTAAAGTTAAAATTTATACGCAGGGGGATTTTTTTTTTACTATGTGGATGGTTGGTAAGGGCTTTAGTCTACTCTAGCTGTTTTTTTTTCTGGGATCCAAATATTCAAATCCTTTTCTATAAATATATAATATGCAGCGGTCTCTGGGGTAGTGGTTGGTGCTTTGCCGCTGCACACAATGGACGTGAGTTCGATTCTCGTGTGGGAAAGCGTCTTATCGAATATTTTCGTATTTCAGTTCAGATGCTCATATTAAATCCCTTTTCAGCTCAGGTTGGCCCTGATTAAATCAACCAGCCTTGTAAAAACTACTAATTTGTGTCTATCGGAATGCACAACAGAAACAATCAATTTAATCAAATACGGTTGTTATAGCATTGCTTTATTTTTAGAGTTGTCCAACTACTGCAGGATGCACCCCTTCAACAATGACTCTCATTCTGTTCTATCTACTGTTCCTTGTATCCAGGTTGTTCCGGTCTGCTTGCTGACGTCATCTTGCCATTTTCTTTCTTATCTTTTTCTTGATTGGTTTCCTGTAATTGGTCTCCATTGAATACATCTTTTTGTCCATAGTGTATGCTTCATTCTACCTTTGCTTATATACGACTTAATAACATTTATTAAATTATATCCACGTTTGTTTTTTTCAAACCAGTGTCTGTGGTGTAGCGATACCAGTTAAGCGCTTCGCTGCCGCACGCAGAAGACTTGAGTTCCTTTCCGGAGTGAGGAGACAAAATTAATTTTAACTAGGATCTCGGTCTTTCTGTTGGGATATTGTATCCCTCTCAGCTCGGGTTGGCCCTGACAGGCGGAGTCGGAAGCCTGCCTCCAAAATAATCTGTAAAAACACTAACAGGAAAACAAAATTTAATATAATTTGTGTCTTCAGGGGGTTTTGGAGATCAGTCTGGTCTGTCTCGGAGCAGGAATATCGTGGTTGGTGCAGACAACGTAAACGCAAGATCTAACGCGGAGTTGGCTTTTGGGGCTGGTGATGGTTCTCTCAGAGGTAATGTGTGTGTGTGTGTGTGTGTGTGTGTGTGTGTGTGTGTGTGTGTGTGTGTGAGTGTGTGTGTGTATGTGAGTGGTTGTGTGTTCGTTTGTGGTTGTGTGCTTGTTTGTGTTGTGTTAAGGCTCTGTGCCCTAGCTCACAATAGACTTGAGCTCGATTCTCGCGTGGGAAAATATATGTATTCATCGCGTATCTCTGTCAGTTCGGATTCAGTTTCCCTCTTAGCTTGGGTTGGACCTGACAGGCAGGATCTCCCCATCTCCCAACAAGAATCCTGCTTGCTAATCCCCCCGCCTTCTAAATGATCTTTGAGTTCATCCCGATGTATACCGAGGACAAGCAACTTCATAAATTAACACTGTTGTTATCATGGTGCTTAAATTGAATACTATTTAATATGATATACAACCATGTCCTCGTTGATAGTTTGCAGGTACTGTGGTGTGGTTTGCTTCTTTACTTCATGTCAAGCATCTATCGTCCTAATCTCTCCCCTTTCTTTTCTTTGTATGTTACTCTCTTATTTTGTAACACCTTTAATCTTGCCACTTATACGACCTCTTTCTCTTGCAAGAGCTGTAAAACCTTTTATTACGGCGTTGGTAGAATAGTGGTTGGGCTACAGGAATCGTACTCATAATTGTGAGGTTGTGTGTTCGGGGATTCGTTCCACACCCGAATTGGTGTCCATGGGAAAGACACTTCATACGAATTTTGCTTACGTTAAACCCAACGTGAATGGGTATGCCACTATTATTGTAGACAGCTAAAGATCTTGTGAGCATTTTAGTGTTTTAGCGCCTATAAAATGGCAACTTGTACTTTATGCTTCACGGGAAATTAAGATTGCTTCAGAATGCTATCAGGTCTGATGGTTAAATTTGTAAACTGCAAAACGCACAGAGAGTACTGCTGAGCTGTAATTTGCTCTATACAATAAATCATCATTGTCTTTCTCACCCTGCACCAGGGTATAGGCCACAGACAAACACTTTCCACCTTCCTCTATCCTTGGCTTGCCTCTTGCTGTTATTCCATGTCTTCTTTTTTTCTGTACATCAGTTTCTTTGATTCTTTTCCAGGTTCCACGTCGTCTTCCTCTTGATCTTTTACCCTGTGGTTTCCAATCCAACACTTTCTTTGTTATGCAGCTGCATACAAATAATGCTACCTTAAAATTGCCAAGTTCTATCAGACATTTTGGCCGTTACGAGTAACTAAGACCACGAGGTCAGAAACCAAATGTTCTATTTTCGTTATGACAACCATAAGATTATTCGGAGTCGTTATCAACATATTCAAAGAATAGCATTCGAAAAAGCTTGATATATTGTGAAACTCAAAACTTTTTAACGTCATTTTTTTTTCGAAATTAGGCACTGAGCAGACAGAACTTTATAATTCTGGGGTAGCGAATGTTATCTATTACTTATTAGTAAAACTAAACTAAATCATGTCCTCGTCTCTTCAGGGGGGTTTGGAGCTCAGTCTGGTTTGTCTAGGAGCAGGAACATCGTGGTTGGTGCAGACAACGTAAACGCAAGATCTGACGCGGAGTTGGCTTTTGGGGCTGGTGATGCTTCTCTCAGAGGTAATGTGTGTGTATGTGAGTGAGCGTGTGTGTGTGTGTGTGTGTGTGTGTGTGTGTGTGTGTGTGTGTGTGTGCGTGTGTGTGCATGTGCATGTCTGTGTGTGTGATTGTGTGTGTGTGTGTGTGTGTGTGTGTGAGAGAGAGAGAGAGAGAGAGAGAGAGAGAGAGAGAGAGAGAGAGAGAGAGAGAGAGAGAGAGAGAGAGAGAGAGAGAGAGAGAAAGGGAGGGGTTGGGGGGTGGGGGCTGTCTCTATGATATTATGTTAAGTGTTTTTATTATCATAACATATCTGATGCAACTTTTAACCTATCATATTTTTTATTTAATATTATGGTTATTTGTTTGATGTAAATTTAATGATGTTTACATTGGTTGTCGGTAGATGCTCTGGTATGGTATGCTCTTTCTTTCCTACCAAACATCACATAATTATATCTTTTCCCTCTTTTCTTTGTATCCTACTTTCTAGTAACATCTCTTATCTTAGGTGCGAATGATTGGAGGGCATCACAGGTAGTTTCTACTTCTTTACTTACCCTCTTATGTTTCTGGGTTTTTCTGTCTATCTGTCCTATTTTTTCTCAGCACCATTATTGTATCAATGTGCTTCTATTTACTCAAACATAGCATAATCTTTGTTATTTATGTGTTGCAAGTGCCGAAAAACTCTTTACAAAAAACAACAACGAACGAACAAACTACAAAACTAAATGACATGTACAACTACAGGTGCTGTGGGCCAGGGAGGTCTCAAACTGGTCTACGACAGTCGCTCTTCAGGACCCAGCTCCCTAGACGGTGCAGCCACCTATGACGGCCTCCTTCTGACAGGCTCCAGGGATAGCGTCGCTTCCGGATACTCTGGAAACCCAGGGGGCTTTGACCTTGGTAACAGCGGCGTTGGCAGCGGCGTCTATAGCAACAATGGCAGATTTTTTGGCAACGGCAGAGTGATGCCAAGCGGTGGCGCGTTTTTTGATGGAGGTGCCGCGGGCGTGATGTCTGGGGGAGACTTGGCGTTCAGCAATGGTCCTGTTGTGGGCGGAGCGGCTGGGTCGTCTGGGGGTGTACTTCTGGCCGGCAGCACCGGTGGGAGAGTCGGTTCTGGCGTCGTAGAAAGTCCTCGTCGGTCCTTCACGGGACTCGGTTCTGCCGGCGCTTTGTCCGGAGCAGGTTACACCGATGCAGGCACAGTCGGTTCTTCTGGCTCGTCCTTGGCTGCGTCTGGCTCCGTTGCCGGTGCTGGTGTTGGCACTGGTTCTAGAAGCTTGCCCCGCGGTCTTGTTCTGAGTGCCGCGCCTTCTTCAGATCTTGTCGGGGCTGCAGGAGCGGCTACAGCTACAGCTGCCACGTTGGCTAACGGAGCTGGGGTTGTCGTGAGTTCAGTACCTGCGGCAGCGATCCTCAGTGGAACCGATTCTGGAGTGTATAACGGCGCTGGTGCACGTGGGGCATCTTTGTCTGCTGCTGGTGCACGTGGTGCGTCACTCTCTGCTGCTGGTGCACGTGGTGCGTCACTCTCTGTTGCTGGTGCACGTGGTGCATCACTGTCTGCTGCTGGTGCACGTGGTGCGTCACTCTCTGTTGCTGGTGCACGTGGGGCATCATTGTCTGCTGCTGGTGCACGTGGTGCATCATTGTCTGCCGCTGGTGCACGTGGTGCGTCACTCTCTGCTGCTGGTGCACGTGGTGCATCATTGTCTGCCGCTGGTGCACGTGGTGCGTCACTCTCTGCTGCTGGTGCACGTGGTGCATTATTGTCTGCTGCTGGTGCACGTGGTGCATCATTGTCTGCTGCTGGTGCACGTGGTGCATCATTGTCAGCAGCTGGTGCACGTGGTGCGTCACTCTCTGCTGCTGGTGCACGTGTTGCATCATTATCTGCTGCTAGTGGCGCCGCCACGGCTGCTAGTGCAAGGGAAGGCGTGATGTCCGGGGGAACAGGTGCTGATGACTACACAGTAAGGGCCGCTGGAACCGTAGCAGGGACCAGGGCCGGGGCCGGACCCAGTGTGTCAAGTTCCGGACTTGGTGCCGGTTCTGGTCGTAATTACGGTTCCGCGGCGTCGGTTGCAGGATCGGGGGCAGCAGCAGCAGCGGGAGCTTATGACAGTCCGGCAGTCAGAACGTCTGGCAGCGTTGAAGCAAGTGCAGCTGCTGGTGTTTATAACAGAGCATCTTCCGGGGCTGGCAGTACTGGGAGATCCGGTTCTACCGGTTCTACGGGTGGATCCGGTGCCGCTGCAGTAGCGGGTTCACAGTCTGCAGCTGCAGGAGGAGACTATGTCGCTGGAGGCGCCACTTCCTCGGCGTCCCAAGCGGCGGGAAAGGCCTCAGGAGCTTCTGCTAATGGGAGTGGGCGTGGTTCTATGTCTGTGTCAAGATCCGGAGCAGCAGCAGCAGCAAGCAGCAGCAGCAACAGTAACGTTAACGGAAACATCAACATCAGCAATAACAATGGTAACGGTAGCGGCACGAACGCTGGCAAAGATTCTACAACTGCTTATGGTACCGGAAGACAAGGCAACGGTTCCAACAGTTCTCCCGGAACCGGTTCCAATAGAGTCGGGATTGTTGGAGTGTCGGGAGGAGCTTCCGGTTCTGCAAGTAAGACTCTGCTAAATAAAATATTGCTTTCTTGTTGTTCCGATAGTCTTGAATAAAACACTATTTGTCATGTAAGAAAATAAGATAAGTGCAAACGAGATTTTAAACAAAATAGAACAGTACAGTCAAAATTTTTGAATAAATTAAGACTAAAAAATGAGGGCACCTTTTTTATAATTAAAGAGTATAAACAAAACCCGGCGCAAACTAGTTTTCTCTCTGTCTTTCTGACTCTGACACACACATACAAACACACAAACACACATACAAGCACACACATATACACACACACATACTCACACACACACACATACACATACACACACACAAACACACACACACACAAACACACACACACCCATTCTTTCACACACACTTAAATAGTTTTTTTCTGCTGAGAACTGTAGAGCCTATAATGCATATAGAGCACAACTCTTCTATTCTAAAATTAACCCATTGCAGCAAAATAGTATTCTTGACATGTAAACTGTGCTATCTAAGTAATTTTTTAATTTTTAAAAATAGTACCTAGATATCCTGATATGGCTGCTTTGTTTTTCACCTTCTCAAAACTGTTACTATAATTAGCTCTTGTATGGTTTGGTCAAGTGGTTCCGTAGCAGCATGAACAATAATATACTTGTATTGATATGCTCATCTATGAAAACACTCGCTACTGCATGATATTATTTATGTTTATGGAGTCTTTATTGTCCTTGCTAGTGTGTTCAAGTGATAGCGATGTGTATCAAAATATTATTTTAATCATGTACTTGGTCTTCTTGGTGTTACACAACCTTTTTAAAAAACAATAAATAATGCGCAGAATATGAGAACAACTGAGTGTTGAGGGTTGTTTTTTCCTCCTTACAGTTATATATTATGACATCAGCAGAGTGTATTTACGTACGGTACTACACAGTACCTGTAGAGATAAATAACGCCTCCCTCTCTCTTTCTCTCTCTCTCTCTCTCTCTCTCTCTCTC